CCATTCACGGTTTTTGCCGGGGGAGTTCAAGGGGACGGGGTATTTTTTCCCCCCCCCCGCCGCCAGGGGAATCCCCAGGGGGGAGGGGGAGGGGGGGGGGAACATGGTCCAGACTTCTTCGGTCACTGGCACCCCGGGGGGGGTGACTTACTTGGAGGACTGGAGGGGGCTTCACAAGAGGGAAAACCCGAGCAGCATTGAGGAGTGCTTCTCGCGGCACTTATATTCCCCGGGGATATTAGAGTGCCCCCCCGGGGGGGACGTTTCGTGCGGCAGTTAAGAAAAGAGAGCGCGCGCGCGCGCGCGGGGGGGGGGGGGTACTCATGTCAGTCGCATGCCGCAGTCGCTGGGCTGTTGACCGCGCATCCCTACAATGCGGGGACGGAGCGACATGCCGGGTTTTCGCCGGCCCAGGCTGCCGGGGGAGGGGTGGGATGGTTTTTGTTCTGTTTTTGGTTGTGTTTGGCGAGCCGACAATGATACCCCCAACACCACCACCGCTTCCGGTTAAGGAATTTGGTGGCAAGGAGTTGAACCGTAGTTCTTGGCAAAAGAAGTTTTTATGGGTGGGAAAACCTCACAGCTAACTTCGCCCCATTTACCCCGGAAAGTTTTTTTTTTTTATCGCCCTTTTTTTTGGCGGGTGGTTTTTTCCTTGCTTTGCGGGGTGTCTTGGCTTTTTGCTTCCCCTTGCAGCAAGCCTGTGAAAGCGCCCATTTTTTTTGACGGCAACTTCCCCAAGAGGCAGAAGAAGCGGAGATTCGACCTGCAGTAGCAGCCAGGCTCGGCAACAACGGGAAAGCGGGGGGGGATCAAGCGGGGGGTCAAAGTCATAGGACGAGAGGGGGTACGCAAACGGGGCGGGGAGGGGGGGGGGGCGTAAGTGGGGCTCGCAGAAGCACTCACTCGGCTCTCGTTGCGTGTGATGGTGCAAGTTTCCTAGCGAGTATTATAGCAAGCAAGCATACGAAGGTTAGGGGCTGGGTGGCCTATCCTGTCGCGAGGTTTCGCCTTGGTCGGCGGTTAACTGGTGTTGTAGTCATCAATGTGACATGTTTTGTTGTATTACGTAGGTGCCGTGGTCGTTTGGTGGTTTTTGTCCTTGAGGGCATCCGTCCGTGTTTAGCGTCTTCGCCGCCAAAAGGGTGGTTTCATCCATGGTATCCACAGTGTATCTTGCGTTTCGTTAGCACGTGCGTTTCATTTGACTGTATGATGTGATGTTTGCACACCCATTTTCTTGACGAGTGTGGTGTTTCGGGATCGTTAATGTTTGTTCGGTATCCCTGTGATTCGTATGCGGTGACACTCGCCTAGAAGCCGCCGTGGCTGTAACTTCAAGGGGGTAAACAGGGGGTGTAAACTGATGTACGTGAGACGTGCGCGTACTTCTGGAAATATTTGGCGTTGCATTTTGCCGGTCCAGTGTTGTTGTAGATCCCCTTTGATAATGTCTGGTCGTTTTTTCGTCGTTTCACGTTGTCGGAGAAAGGAATCTTTCCTTTCATTTTGTTGCGGTCAGCGGAGCATGCCTTGGCTGGTGTTGCCGTGGGAAGTACGTGTAGCGGCGGGGGGGGCGGGGGGAGGCATATCCCTTAAGTGTCAGGATACACGGTTTGTGTGCAACACTGCCGGTGGTTATTTCATGCAGTTTTAATTAATGGCGTGATTATGGCGCTCTCTTTATCGTGAATCAGAGGTGTTACTAAAAGAGCACCGGTAACCAGCATGGCAATCGACTGCCAACAGGATACCTCAGTTGTGGCTGCGCGGGTGCACAGGCCACTAGCACTCGTAAATGACTTGTCTTGTTGCCCTTACGCGACTCCCGCAAACTCGACGATCCTGTCAATACGCCGTATGTCATCTCATTTGTGACACAACGCGCCGTCTGTTTGTTCCCTCTCGGTCGAGATCGATTCGATCGGTCAAACCTTGTAGCTCAGCAGCAACGAACGTGTTGTGCGCGGGCCGCTTCTAGTATTCTAGTATTTGCTCTCATTCCGAGGAGGGTGTATCCTCATCATCTAGTTGGTGGTGCGCCGCTGTCTGATATGCTCGTTCGTGTGGTTGCGGCCTCCCGCACACCGACGGATGAGTACAAGTGATGCTGCATGTTCGGGCGAGAAGACGCCTGGTGCCGATGCTGTTCTGCTAACTAATACTGCTGTTTGCTCGAGGGGGGCGACGGTGCTTCAACCCGAGGATTTTCGGCGTCGCTCTCTCTCACGCGCTCTCTTTCGCGGGGGAACACCAAGAGACGGGGTGGTTTAAGATGAGGGGGTACCACCCCCCCCCCCCCCCCCCCCAAGGGGAAAGGGAAAACTTTGGTTAGCCCGGATGCCCATCCACCCCTGGGATAAATGGGTCCAAAAATGAAAAAAG